TTGGGTTCGCAAAGGCAAAAAAAACAGGGTCCGGCTTCCAAAGGGCAATCTGGGTGGGAAGTATCGGTTGCGCATTCTATTTTTTTTCCTTTCCCCTTGGGACACCTCGGCCTACCCCTATAAATATGACCCCCGGCCTGACACCAGGGCTGTTGGCACGTTCATTGCTTTTTCCAACTTCGAGCCTGGTTTCTTTTCTTTTCTTTGCCGGCGCGTGTTTTTTTTTTTTTTTTTTGCAAATTTTTTGCTTATTCTATACTCAAAAGTGACATGGACGTACTGACCTCCATTTTTTATTTCAGATTTCATAACCAATTTCTGGTTGACCCTCAGCCAAAAGCTGTTTGATTTGACATTCTGCATAACAACCTTTCTATTTCTTATTTTTTAAATATATTTTCCTTTTTTTTTTCTCTCGTGCTGGGGCTGGCCGGAGCTTGACCGGGGTCTTTGCCCGGGCCCACCCTGGCCGGGCCACCCCGGCCTCTCTATTCAACAAAAGAGAAAAATGCAGTAACCCTGTTCAACAGCAGACCGGGGCTCAGAACTTTGCCCCCGGTAAGACACAGACTCAGTTGTCTGTGCTGGGCTATGTGACCGAGACATGCCCAGCCTGAGTCTGTCGAGGAGGCTGTGTGACCAAACGCAGCACAAGGGAAATTCAACAGTCAAAGACAACTGCAGAGTCAAAGGTACCGTACCCAGGCCTATGGACGGATACATTCACTTGTTGTGTGCAGGTACCCAGACAGCATTCAGGGCGGGAGAAAATACAGTTTCTGGCTGATCTGGGCCCTCATTCATATCGAGATCTRGACGGTGCAGGACCTCAGTACCCGGGGTCCAGACCCCGCATCCACGCTATTTAAGAGTTGACTTCCTGGCTGGAGGACATTCAGTCTTGCGTGAATGCTGACTTCACGCGTGGACTTGACGCTGTTGCTATGCTGCGACATTGCGACATTGGCTTGACGCCGGCTATATGCTGGCAGAGGAGAACAGCAAGGCGCTGCTGGCTGGCGATGGTCTTCTGGGCATGCTGACGTGGCAGCTGCCACGCGCCGTTGCTGACGTGGCCGCTGCCACCTGTATATGATTGATGACGTGGCTGGCTGCGAGGTTGATGAGGCTGTTCTGATTCTTCGTCACTTCGGAAGGAGATCAAGACTGTGGTTATCGAGGATACGTACCTGGTTGATGACGATACTCTCCATTTGCTGATGTAGACAGATTGACGTGCCACGTGGCACCTTG